AAAAAAAAAATCATAAGGAGCCATCCCATTGGATAACCAACATTTGCTCCTCTTTACTTACCTGGAATATAGCGTACATGATGCATGTTAGGGGCCTATTGTGTGAATATCCAGCCACATTGAAGATGTTAAGGCCCCATTTGTTCAGGTCTTCCAGTTCCTGTAATCAAAATTAGAGGAATTTAGGAATGAGGACAGTTTTGTTAGCACACTTCATTTGGTTTATTGATATTTTGAACAATGCCTGCATACATCTTTAGAATGTCTATTAGAGTACTCTAGGTACATGAAAAGCTGAAAATGGAATGGCCTAAGTGGTTGAGTGTCCTATTCACAATAGCTACAAATTTCTACACATCTTTTTTTTCGGAAAAGGAAGAATATGCATCTATTTATAAATTTAGTTACTGACCTTTATTTGCCATGTATCAGACCTCAACCAATGTTGCTTTCAAAGGTAGCCACAAATGAGTAGAGATCACTCTAGCCCCATTTCCCTGTGTCTCCCTTCGCTGCTCTCTAGCCCATGAGTAACAGCTAAAAAACAGTCTCGGGAAACTCCTCTGCCCTATGGTTGTCATCACGGAGAGCCAGGTCAGGGAGACTCAGTTGTCAGAATGTGCATAAGTCAACCCCAATTTAATGAAAAGGTCATGAAGAATGCCATTCACAAATTATAGGGCTCATGGAAGAAACATCATCCAGGCCTGTGTTGTGGAATTATTCAAGGATTATCTGATTTAAGGAGCAATTTATTCCATTCTTAATTACTGCACACAGTAAGAGATCCAGGCTGTCCCCAGAGGCTTGGCCCAATGTTTAGTCAACCTCATTCTAGTGACAGGTTCAGAAGGTCTCACTGAGTGCTCATTCGCACACAGTTAGCTAATTTCATGTTCTCACGAGGCTGAGAGCACCCCAGCAACCACTCTGCATGGCCTTGTAGAAAATGTATGAATTCCTTCTACGGCTTCTTCCTTTCATGAAGTTTGGGCTTAAGAGTCAGTGCTTTCAATGTCAGCTTGGATATTCCCAATGTCCCTTCAGGATTCTCCATTCATGAGGAACTGTCCTACTCAACTCAGGACAAAAAATGA